AACCGTGGACCGCCCGCTACAGAACCGGTTCCAAAAATTGGAACGGAGAACCGCCAGTCGGTTCCATGGACCCGCCCGAGAATCGGACCGCCGGTCCGGTCCGGTTCTTGGGCGGGTCCATGGAACCGGTCTCAACAAGTTTTCCTAGACAAATAAAAAAAAAATCTGTGGACCAACATCGGATCAACAGAACAAAAGGAAAAGAACATAACTTTTCATACAATTCCTACACTATGATCGATTATATTAACCACATCATCCATAAATCAAGTGGGTACCAATTAATTATTGGGAAAAATGACCAAGCTATCCCAACTACACAAGAGCTTCAGACATGAAAACAAAATTTCTTCTTTTTTTTTAGTTTTTTTTGGTTAGATTTTTTTAATTAAAAATTAAAAAATAAAATATATTATTATTATATTCCCGGTCTGATCCGGGTGGGCGATTCCACATCGGGAACCGGGAACCGGCCCAAACAGTACCGGTTCCAAAAAATTGGAACCGGGAACCGGACCGGTTCCCTTGGGAACCACCGGTTCCGGGGGGTCCGGGCGGGTCCCGGTTCTTTTGCACACCTCTACAACTCACGGTCTGGTCTTGCCAAGGTCCGAAGACCGATTTGGGCGGGCTTGGAAAGTAAAGCTATTTAGGCTCCGTTCGTTTGGCGGAAAATATTCTCCTTTTGGAAAATATTTTCCCGGAAGTCATTTTCCTGAAAAATGTTTTCCTAGAACACAATTTTCTGGTGTTCGGCTAAAATCTGAAAAAGTTTCGGAAAATATTTTCTGGTGTTCGGTGACCGCCGATCCGGCGGCGTCCGGCGATCGGTGGTGGCGACCGCCGAGTCCGGCGGCGTCCAGGTGGCCGGCATGGCGACCGCGGCGGCCGGGCGGCGCGGGCGGCTGATCGGCCACCACCGGCGACGGTCGGCGGCTGGCGGGCGCGATCGGCAACCGGCGGCGGTCGGTCGATCGCCGGCAACGACGGGCGGTGATCGACAGAATCGGCGGCGGTCGGCGGCGGCGGCGGTGGCGATTGGCGGTGACCCGACGGCCGGCCCGGCGGCCGACGACCGACGGTGGCCTGCGGACCAAACGAATGGCTCTGGCAATCGGCGGATCGCGGCGGCCGACAACCGACGGTGACCGGCGACCGACGACCGGGCGGCGGCGGAAACGACAAGCGGCGGCGGCGACCGACGGTCGGTGGACCGCGGCGGCCGACGATCGACGGTGACCGGCGACCGACGACCGGTGGCGGCAATCGGCGACGGCGACCGGTGGCGGCGGCGGCGACCGGCAGCCGACGGCGGTGACCGGCAATCAACTTCCTCTCCCACGGAAAACATTTTCCCTCCCATGGGCAATTTTGCCTTCACTTTGGGGGAAAATTATTTCCTTTTAAGGCTTTGTTCGTTTCCTGAAAAATATTCTCCCGTAAAATATTTTCCGGTGTTCGGGGGCCGGAAAACGTTTTCCGTGGGAAAACATTTTCCTTCCCCCCTCACAAAATAGCCTAAGTCTATGGAAAATGACTTCCGCTTCTTCAAAAGCGGAAATCATTTTCCGTAGCTGCCGCTTCTTCTTCTTCTTCTTCACTATTTTTTTTTTCATTTTTTTCGTTCTTCTCTTTCCTCAGCCCTGTGGCCGGCGACCGGCCAGTGGCGAGGCCCGAGCTTGGCGGCCTCAGGCGACCTCGGCCTCGCCGCCGTCTGGCGACGTCGGGCGAGTCTCAAGCCTCGCCCCGGTCGGCAGATCCGGCGAGGCCGAGCTCGCTCGAGGTCGGCGAGCTCCAACCTCACCAGATCCGGCGACCTCGGGCTAGAGCCGCCTGAGGTCGCTAGACGTTGGCGAGGCTCCGGCGACCTCGAGCGAGGCTCAAGGTCGCCGGATCTACTGATGCTTTGATTGATTTGTTTTCTGGTGTTGCTGTTTGTGGGTTCTTCTTCTTCTTGTTCGTGGGCGAGGCTCCTCGGGCTGCTTGGTCACTAGCGGCGACTTGGGCCTCGCTAGATCCGGCGACCTCGAGCCTTGCCCAGGTCGCCGGATCTGGCGAGGTTGGGCTCGCCGGCCTCGCCGGATCAAGCGAGGCGGAGCCTCGCCACAGGCCGGCGAGGCTCGACCTCGCCGGAATCTGGCGAGCTCGAGCCTCACCGGCCTGGGGCGATGCTCGAGCTCGCCTCCGGCCGGTCGCCGGCCGCCGGCCGCAGCTGTTGCCGGTGACCTACAAGAGAAGAAGCAAAAGAAAAAGAAAAAAAAAAGAAAATGTTAAAAATATTAAAAGTATTGCAAGAAGAAAAATCATTTCTATACCGAACAGCGGAAAATATTTTTCGAGACTTTTTCAGATTTTAGCCGAACACCAGAAAATTGTGTTCCAGGAAAACATTTTTCAGGAAAATGACTTCCGGGAAAATATTTTCCAAAAGGAGAATATTTTCCGCCAAACGAACGGAGCCTAAGAGGAAATCGTTTTCCCCCAAAGTGAAGGCAAAATTGCCCATGGGAGGAAAAATGTTTTCCGTGGGAAGTTATTTTCCGCCCCCGAACACTGGAAAATCCGGAAAATATTTTCCTAGAAAACATTTTCTGCCAAACAAACGAAGCCTTAGTTATACAGTTTGGCTCGATATGGTAAGAGCTAGGCTTGCCCCGATCCGGTCAACAAGACGTCTTGCTCGTTCATAGTTTTTTAGGTGGGTCAATAATTGCAAAATGTCACGAGCTTCATCGGGTGGGAATGAAGACAATGCACGATGGACCATTTGTATTCATCACATTATTATCTTCACCACTGAAGTTTGAAATTGCTCGTGCCCTCTAGAAAGTGGTAAGTAGTAGGTGGTTCCCGTGAGCCTTGGAATGATCTGAACTCGGGACTTCCTGCTCCGATACCGTGTAAGGATTTCTGTAGAGCGCCGCCGACTGTTCTAAAAACTTAAACTGTTAGATGAAAGCATGATTATATATTGAAGTACTTTAAAAGTTCCATTTATATCCCCATTGACGATGATTAGTACCATTAAACTCTAAAATTTGCGATTTTTGGAATTTGCTAGATTCTGTTTAGTCAATAATTTCTATTGATCAACTCATTATCTTCACCACTAAAGTTGAAATTGCTCGTGCACTCTAGAAAATGGCTAGATTAGTGCCCCACTCACGGTGATTAGTGCCGTCAAACTTTTAAATTTGCGATTTTTGGAATAGGCTAGATTTTGTTTAATCAATAATTTTTCCCGTAAATTTTTTGGGTTGTGGTTGTAGTTATAGTGGGGGATAATTGCCAAAAAAATCCTAAACCTATTGCACGGATGTCAATTGAGTCCTAAATCTTTTAATTTGGCAATTTAATCCTAAACATTAAGCCAATTTGCCAATTTATTCCTTTTGTTCCGGTCAATTTTGGCTAAAATTTGTTTACGTGGATGCCGATTGACCTACGTGCACAGCCGGTGCTGACATGGACAATTTTTGAAATTTTTAATAACTTTTCTGAATTTTATATGCTTTTCATTTTCCTTTTTTTTAACACTATGGCCGGTGAGAGTTGCTAGAGAAAAAATTAAAAATTAAAAAAAGTTACTCACATTAGGGCCAGCCGAGTCATGTAAGAGGGCCGACGTCTACGTTAGTAATTTTCAGCCAAAATTGTTCGAAAGGACTAAATTGGATAATTATCAAAAGGTTTACGACTCAATTAGCCAAATTTGAAAGATTTGCGATTGAATCAGCATCCGTACAATAAGTTTATGACTCTTTTGGTAATTTTCCCGTTATATTGGTGCAACTATTCATATAGTGAATTATTTATAGACTCTTGAGCGGTAAGAATGTTCGGTATGTGGCCGTTGAGCTAGTTATAGTGCTTGTTATCAACCTACATAAATTATTGATAGCAATATTTCAAAACACGAGACGACATACAATGATTGAGCGGTGAATTTGACAATGAAGCTTATTAAAAAAACAGTGTTAAAGATGAGTAACTGATAGAACCCCTCAATATTAGTGGTGATTAGTTCCCGGTCTGATCTGGTTTCAAAGTGAAATCGGGAATCAGGGACCGGACTGGGAGGACAGGTTCCCAAAATTTGGAACCGGAGACTGAACCGGTTGGTCCTAGGACCGGGAACCGGTCACTTATGATTTGGTTCATATTTTATTAATTTTTATCAATGAATTTATGTCAATGGAGTTCACTTATGGTTTAGTTCATATTTTACTAATTTTTGTCGATGAACTTCTCTTAGGGTTTAGTTCACATTTTACTAATTTTTTGAAGAAATAAAAAAAAGTATATATAATCGGTCCAGTTCCCGATTGTCGGTCCAGTCCAGTTCCTCTTGGAATCGGGAATCAGACCGCCCGGACACCAATTCCTTTTTTATGAATCGGGAATCGGATCGACACTTCCGAGAATCGGACCAAACTGGCCGGTCCGATCCGGTCTAGGCAGTTCCCAAATTGGGCAGTCCATTTTGCACGCCGCTACTCATTATCAACATTGAAGGCATCGAAGAAAATCCAGCACCGCTACTCATCAACACTGAAGGCATCGAAGAAAATCCAGCACAAATGGTATTTTCAAGTGGTCCATCTATTAGGACATTTCAGACTGTCAGCAATGACAGTAGAAGACCACCGTCCGATCTCGTCCAGGCGGTTCCCAGATTGGGCGGTCAATTTTGCACACCGCTACTCATTATTAACATTGAAGGCATCGAAGAAAATTCAGCACCACTACTCATTATGAACATTGAAGGCATCGAAGAAAATCCAGCACAAATGGCATTTGCAAGTGGTCCATCCACTAGGACTTTTCAGATTGCCAGCAATCACAGTAGATGACCAAGGATGATGTTGGACCAAATTGCAAGATATTGTTTAGCCCAATGTCCACGTCCACTGCTTATTTTCCTCCACATTTTCAGATAAGCAGCTTCTTTTACACTTTACAGTCAATCAAAGCCAAAAGGGGAGAGTGGAGAGAAAGATATGACGAAGAAGAGAGGAGGCTTTTGTATTCCCAACCTCCATGCCTCGACATGCACTGTGATGTTGGTGCTCTGTCTTGGCCTTCCAAGCTTGGTTGCTTCTCAGTGCAAGAGAAAACCCATCGTCTTCAACTTCGGCGACTCAAACTCGGACACCGGCAGCTGGGCCGCGCTCGGAGCTCACTTCGGGTTGCCCGACGGGCACGCTTTCTTCCACGAGGCGATCAGCCGGTTGTGCGACGGGCGGTTGATCATCGACTTCCTCTGTGAGTCCTCGCTCTCTACTCTCTTTATCTTCTGAGGGGACCTTCCTAGGCTGGACTATACAACACATCACGAGCACAAGTTTGACATCTATCGTTCGGTGTTCTTCGAACAAACACGTGATAGTATGCTTTTTCATAATGTTTTATCTTAGGTTCTCGTGTGTGCTATATCTCTACTCTGACAAAAAGTATTTGAGCTAGGGATAGGAATCGGTCCCATGGACTCACACCTCGTGTCAAACCCATCACGTAAATGATTTCTATATCGTGATTGGCTTTACCCAAGAGAATCGGAGAACTCGATTGTGCAAGATAAAACCGTGACGGTCAAATCGCATAAACCCAGAAAGCTAGATGACTTCATTGAACAAAACAAAAGTCAGAGGATCAGATCGCGTAAATGCTGAAATTTAAAGGATTGACTCTATGAAAAAGGTGGAATATTTTTAAGCACATAATGCAAATTTTGGTGAGATTTGTCTGAAATCCAAAACAGGTGAGAGCTTGAACACAAGTTACTTGAGCGCGTACTTGGAATCATTGGGCCCAAATTTCAGCAGCGAAGCCAATTTCGCCATAAGCGGCGCGGCCCCTTACCCTCCTTACTAATGGGGGTGTATCGCAAACCGAATCAGAACGATCACGCAAATAATAGAAGAAAATTAAATGATGCACGAGTTTACCCAGGTTCACCCCTGAATAGGGTTACGTCCTGCAAAGGGATTCCACTATGATTTAGGTTTACAACCACAGCCACTTGTTACAATGATATCTCATACGAGTACAATATATATGACTTAAAATGGGCCCAAAGCCCAAGCCTATCCGAATCCCTTTAATCCCATAACAAACGGACCAGCAAACCCGATGTTGTTTCGGGGGCGCTGCCCCGGAGCCCCCGCCCGCTCATTGGCGAGCGGGGCCGCCGTCTGCTCACCGGGGAGCGGAACCCCTGCCCGCTGTCCGGTCAGCGGGACCCCCGAACCCCCGCATTCCGTGCGCAGGGGTCACATGTCGTCGGATCATACTTCGGTTTCCCTAAGCTTATGTGGGCGTGCCCGGTATGAGAAACAACGGTCCCCGAAGTCTTCGCCAACTCCAACACTTACGATCAATCCAACTTGGGCATTCAAGTCCGCCAGTTCCTCCGTTTCAGATCTCACTTGCCTTTGCTTCTCGCTAGAGGTAATTTGCTCTTAACCAAACAGATTAACCCGAAAATGAAAAGCAAAGATAAGATATCTCAATCTGGTGTCCCCAATTCAGGTTATACGAATTTGGTCGGCGAGGACGGCTTTGGGGACGCTCTCTACACCATCGACATCGGCCAGAACAACATCGCGGTGCAAGTCGTCCAGAATACCTCAACCTTCATCGGAGAAATCAAACTCGCGATCGGGGTTAGTCGATGATTAACAAAAGATCTTCTCATATGTATGGAAGAGTAAACTTAATCCCACCTTTTCCAATTTAATTTATGTGTCTAATTGTCATAGAATATATACAAAAGTGGAGGGAAAAATTTCCGGGTGCACAACACCGGGCCATTGGGCTGTTTGCCTCAGAAATTGGCTAAGACCGCCCACAATGCAAGTGATACCGATGAGCATGGATGCCTTAAATCTCTCAATGATGCTGCTCAAGTCTTTAATCGACAATTGCAATCCCTTTGTGAAGAACTGAGGTCTCAGATGAAGAATGCCACGATTGTGTACGTCGACGTCTTCGCGATCAAATACGATCTCATCGCCAATTACGCCGAGCACGGTATGGCTCTATCGTCTCTCTGATCCTAGTCCCTTCGGGTTCCGTTACTTAAGCTTTGTGTTGTTGCCTTACGATATGGATAGGTTTTGAGAGTTCGTTAATGGCGTGCTGCGGCAACGGCAGGCCGCCGTACAACTACAATGACAATAACACTTGCCGCCAGAGCAACTTCGCCGTGTGTGACGAGGGATCACGCTACGCGAGCTGGGACGGCGTCCACTACACCGAGGCGGCCAATTCATTCGTGGCCTCTCGAATACTCTCCTCTGACTACTCCACCCCTCCCATTAATTTTAATTTCTTTTGCAAATTTTTAATTTCACTCGAAGATTTTCCGAGTTTGCTTATTCAGTTGCTATATTATGAAATTTGCTTATCTGATTACTCGACAAGGATCTCACTCTTCAGGGAAAACTATTGCAAATTTTTCCTAGTTATAGAGTTTGGCTTGATATGATACGGGCTAGGCTTACCCCGATTCAGTCAAAAGATCACCTCTTATCTCAATATTTACGTGGTGTAATCCATGTTAAGGACGACATGAACATGCTCCTCGGTAGGGTTCACAGTATTAACGTGGTCCCTCGGGGTGTCGTTCTTATTGAGTTTCATGCATGACATTCACATTAAGAAATTGCATGATATACGAGCATAAGTTTCTATATCTTCTAATAGGACAATCACATGCTGAAGATCGACCCTACTCGAACAGCATTGCATCTTTGATATGAGCCGAGCCATGCCCGTTGCCATTTTTTCAATGACTATAACCATATTCTAATGAGTAAAGTCTCAAATAATCAATCCTCAAGAAAAATTATCAAAAAAGTCCTAAACCTATTGCAATTGTGCCAATTCAGTCCTAAACCTTTTTTTTTTTTTGCAAATTCAGTCACTATTCGGCTACTTTTGGCCGGCCATCGTTGACATGGACTGGCCGGCTGACGTGTGCAATATTTTAATTTTTTTTCGATTTTTTTTTCTTTTTTTTTTTTTTTTCCTTCTCCCCCTAGCCGGTCCCCGAGGTGCGGGAGGCTCGCTCTCGCCGGCACCAGCGAGGCTCGCCCTCGCCGTCGCTGGACGAGCCTCGCCCGGCTCTGGCGAGGGCGGAGCTCGCCATGGCTAGGCGAGCTCTGCCCTCGCCGCCGCTGGGCGAGCTCGACCTCGCCCAGATCTGGCGAGGTTGAGCTTCGCCATGGCTGTGGGCGAGGTCGAGCTCACCCAGCCATGGCGAGCTACGCCCTCGCCTCGCCAGACCTCGCCGGCCCTAGCCCCTGGCCGGTCCGGCCACCGGACCGGGGGAAGAAGGAAAGGCCAAAAAAAAAAAAACACAGAGAAAGGAAAAAAATAAAAAAAAATTCGAGCTCCGCTCTCGCCAGTTCTGGAGAGGGCGAGCCTTGTCGTCGCACAGCCATGGCGAGGCTCGACCTCGCCAGATCTTGGCGAGGTCGAGCTCGCCTAGCGGCGGCGAGGACAGAGCTCGCCATGGCTAGGCGAGCCTCGCCGTCTCACAGCCATGGTGAGGCTCGACCTTGCCGGAGCTAGGCGAGGCTCGCCCTTGTCGGCGAGACTCCCCCTGGCCGATCCAGCCAGTGGGAAAAGGAAAGAAAAAAAAAGAGAAAGGAAAAAAATATAATAAAAATTCAAAAAAATAAAAAATATTAATATATTGTCACGTCAGCCGGCCGACGTCCACGTCAGCGCCGGCTGGCCAAAAGTGGCCGGATGGACTGAATTGGCACAATTGCAAAAGGTTTAAGACTAAATTGAAAAAAAAAGGTTTAGGATCGAATTGGCACAATTGCAATAGGTTTAGGACTTTTTTGATAATTTTCCCTCAATCCTCAATTAGCGGACGTCTAACAATGTATGATTAGACGGACGCATCTAGTCATCTACATGCTATATTTATTTTGGAGCTTTGTTGTCATTGCAATTGTGGTAAATTCTTGTTATCTTTGAAGTATATTAACTAGGGCATCGTCACCTTTCGAAAAAGAAAAAAACTAAGGCATCACCTAAGGAAAAAAATGCTTCACTTAGGGCCCGTTTGGTAACGTGCCAAACAGGTGAAAATTTCGTTCTTTTGTTCCAGAAATAGTTTGGGAACAAGCGTTGTAAACTTTTTGTTCCCGGACACATTTTTGCAAATATTTGTGCCGAGAAATAGTTTTGGAAGAGAAACAAGAAGTAAAAAAAGTTGTTTCTTGTTTCGGCACAATTTTAGGTTTTTTTTTTTTCTTTTTTTTTTTTCTTTTCTTCTTTGTGTTGCTCTTCTTGGGTTGTAGCCGGTCGGTGGCGACAGTGCATGGCTCCCGGGAGCAGCGAGGAGTCACAGTGCTACTCGGCGCCGAGGGGGGGTCCCCTGCCGGTGAGGGCGAGGGCTGGACCACAAGCCCCTGAAGCGGCAGCGGCTCGTCGTCCGGTCATATAGCGAGGTCGGCCTCGCCCGGATCGGACGGAGCCGAGCCTCGCAGTCGTGAGACCGCGGCGGAGTCGGCCTCGCCAGTCACGTGCGGCTAGAGCCTCGCAGTGTGGCTCAGTGGTTACGGTGAAACCTTGGCCAGGTGGGTCGCTGACAAGAGGAGGCTTGGCCTCGCTTGATCTGGGGAGGCCGGCCTCGCCATGCGCCAGTAGCCGGCGAGCCACCTCGCCCTGGGCGGCGGAGTCCGGCCCTCGCCCTCGCTTAGGCCACTGGGAGGCATGTGGCGATGGCGGCGTGCCAAATAGCCCAGCTGACAAAAAAAGAAAAAAAAAAAATTAAACAATTCAAAAATATTATTAATAAAAAGAAATTTGTGTGTAGTTATGCAAAGACGCATTTCTGTTCTTTTACTATTCCGGGAATAGAAATTTTGGAGCCCGGTTACCAACACGCCTTCAAATGAAATTGTTTCGGGAATGGAATAAAAAAATGCATTTACGTTGAGGAAATAGTTAAGACACTTGAATGGTTGTTATGCGTCTGTTATAGTCTTTTTAATAGCACCTCTCTCGCCTCCCTCTTTTCTTTGTCTCTTCCCCTTCTGGATCGAAGGGATTTGACCTGGATTTCTCCCTCCCCTCCTAGTTGCTTTTCCTTTAATTGAACTTTTTTTTATTCTCCCAATCTAATTTTAAATCTGGGAACTTTGCCCTCTCAATATTATATTCGAGAGCTTTTCTCTCTGATCTAATTCTAGATTTTGGAGTTTTAATAAATAAGTATTTTATCTCCAGTTTCAATGGTGTTCACAGCAACTTTGGTATCAAATTTGTGCTCGCTCAACGTGTTTTAGCTAAAAGCTTTCGCGCCTAGCACTAGCTATAGGGCTCGCTCTCATAGTTTTCAGATCCGAGGTTATTCAACATGTTTATGTTGTTTCCGTATGGTGATGGTGTTAGGGACGTCGAACCTAGGCGCACATCACCGAAAGGCAAAACCGTAACTACAGATGGAGATCCTGGCGTGTGCTTATCACCGATGATGCTGTGTGATTCAATGATCGGCCTTTGATCCTTTCACTTGAATGTAGTCACAAATCTGTTCTTGAAGAACGAGTGTATAATTATATGCGCCAACCATGCTATGATGATATGCATTGATTTCTGATTTTTGATTTGTTTTGGAGTTCTATGGGCTTGCCTTATTGTTGTGACTTTTGAGATTTCCTTTGAATCATTTCATATATTATTTTGGTATTGAATGAAAATTTCTATTGGACCCCCTCCCCCCCACAAAAAAAAAACCAGGCCATCCTATTTCTCTATAAAGAGGGAAAAATTCATAATATAGAGCAAAATGCACGACGTCATCAGTGCATCACATGAGGGGAAACAGTCCCTGAACTTTGATTCTATGTGCAATGTCGTCCATAAATTTTTAATTTATTTAATGTGGCCCATGAACTTTGATTTAATGTGCAATGTCATCCTTACACTTTTAAATTTATTCGGTGTGATCTCGAACTATTGGTAATTGTCTAACGTAATTCTTAAATTATATGAAAATATTTAAAAGTTCTGGATTAGGTGATCACATTGAATATTGAATCAAAGTTGAGAAATCAAATTGAATAAATTAAAAGTTTATGAACGGTATTGATCATTTCACCAAAATTCAAGATCATTTATGTCATTTTGCGCGAGCAAGATTACCTCTCGCTTCTTCATTGCTTGTGGTGGGTAATTAATTTAATTTGCAAATTCTCAAGTGCTTCGTCCGGTGGGAGCGAAGACCATACATGGACCAATTTCCTAGATTTCGTTTAGCCAGCGATCTTGTTTGTCCACATAAGAGCCATCGAAAAAAGGAAAGCAAAAAAGAAAGAAAAAACTCCCATGTGTCGTTTTGTTTTTTTAATTGATCCTCGATTGGGACAATTCAAACTGTAAGCAATCACAGCACAAGACGACAACAGGACTTTCAAAATTAAGATCGGACCAAATTGCCCTTCCGAGCTCGGCTGCTTCTCGGTGCAAGAGGAAGCCCGTCATCTTCAACTTCGGCGACTCGAACTCGGACACCGGCGGCTTCTCGGCGGCGCTCGGGATCAACTTCGCGTTGCCCGACGGGCGCGCCTTCTTCCACGAGGCCACCGGCCAGCTGTGCGACGGGCGGCTGACCATCGATTTCCTCTGTGAGTTCTCGCTCTCTCTACGCCGCGATTTCCGGGGGTGATCTCTCCCTAGGGAGTGACTGAAGCACATGACGAGCACCACTAGTTCCAACGCCATTGTACAATTTTCTTTGAAAAGCACATGAGAATGTTTAGTTTTAGGTGCACCCGTTTCTATACCTTTACCTTAACAAAAATTTGCTTGAGCTAGAATAGGATTCATTCCCACGTACTCACAACTCATGTCACACCGACCACGTGAATGATTTCTATACTGTAATTGACTTTATCGAAGAGAGTTAGCAAGCTCGACTGTACAAAATAAAACTTAGATGATTAAATCGCGTAAATCTAGAAAGTTAGAGGACCAAATCGCGTGGATGCTGAAATTTTGGCGAGATTTGTGTGAAATCCAAATCAGGTGAGAGCTTGAACACGAGTTACTTGAGCCCATACTTGGGATCATTGGGCCCAAATTTCGGCAACGGTGCCAATTTCGCCGTCGCCGGCTCGGCCACCCTCCCCCGCTTCCAGCCCTTCAGCTTGGACGTCCAAGTCCGCCAGTTCCTCCTTTTCCAACTTCGCTCGCCGTTACTTCTCTCCAGAGGTACTTCGTCCTTAACTTAACATTAACCTCTACAAGGAAGCAAAAATAGGATAAGTTTGATTTGGTTTCCGCGATTTTAGGCCACGCGAATTTGGTCGGCGAGGACGGCTTCACGGACGCTCTCTACATCATCGACATCGGCCAAAACGACCTCGCGACTCAGTTCACCACCCTTCCGTATTCGCAGGTCGTCGGGAACATCTCGGTCGTTATCGAAGAAATCAGGCTCGCCATCTCGGTCGGTCCACGGTTACCGAAAGGCTCGATACCTATACGGCGAAAAAGATTAGACTCGATACCATCTTTGTAAATCGAATTTTGCGTGTCTAATTTTTGCAGAGCATATACCAAACCGGAGGGAAGAATTTCTGGGTGCACAACGCCGGGCCATTCGGCTGTTTGCCTAACATATTGGTCACTTCCGCCCATACTCAAAGTGACATTGACGAGCTCGGATGCCTTCGATCTCGCAATAATGCTGCTCGAGAGTTCAATCGACAATTGCGATCCCTTTGCGATGACCTGAGGCCTCAGATGAAGAACGCCACGATCGTGTACGTCGACGTCTTCGCGATCAAGTACGACCTCATCGCCAATCACGCTAAACACGGTATGGTTCCGTCGCCTCTCTGATCCCGACTCCCCCTACGAGTTCCGTTAGAGTTCGACCGTCGAATCGCAACTCGAGTGTGAGCAAGGATCTTGTTAGCTTGTCCCGTGTGCCGTGGGAGGAGCGATGACGACGGTCGATTTACTAAAAGTTTTGTGTTTTTTCGTGTCGCGATGTGGGTAGGATTCGAGAACCCGTTGATGGCGTGCTGCGGCAACGGCGGGCCGCCGTACAACTACAATCCCAACATCACTTGCGGCCGGATCGGCTTCACCGTGTGCGACGAGGCGTCGTGACGCGTGAGCTGGGACGGCGACCGAGTCGGCCAATTCTTTCGTCGCCTCTCGAATACTCTCCTCTAACTACTCCACCCCTCCGGTTGCTTTTGATTTTTTGTAACGTTTAAATTCACTTTTTAACGTTTAAATTCACTTAGAAGATTTTTTTGGAGTTTGCTCATTTTATGATATTTGCTCATTTAATTACTTAACAAAGATCCCAGTTTTTTGGGAATTCTTTTTGCAATTTCTTCCTTTTTTTAATTAGGGCAAGCCCAAGTTGTTAAGTGGCAACAGCATTACATGAGATTAATAATAATAATAATAATAATAACAATAATAATTTCATGTGCTCATGGTCATTGCCAGTGATGGGCAAGACATGTTCACATGCTCATTTTGAATTTAAATATTCCATTTATTTTTTTCACGTTATGGACACCAACATATCATAATGTACGCACCAAATTCTGGTTAGAAATGCAATCACGGAAAGGAACCAAACTCTAAACTACCCGCGTTCAAGACGGTTAGATCCGAACCCGATCCGACTCGTTAGTTTCGCCACCTCCTTTTAGGTGGAAGATAACGAGTATCGGTGGACACGGGGATAACTTTCTTTAAGTATCTAGAAATCTCTCCATCGTCCCGTCTTTCGAGAATGAATCGTGACCGCCTCGACGGATCTTTCCGATTAAAAAAATTTGGAAGAAAAATGAATGGATGATTAGGATCGAGCGCTCGAAAAAGATTTCCACTTGTTAACCTAATTATTGATTCGAAAGCTACTGCCTACTCATTTTCCATTTCATTTAGGGTGCGTTTGTTTGAAGAAAAGTATTTTTTGGGAATCCGTTTTCCGGACTTTCACTCGTTTGGATCGTCGAAAATGGTAAGTCAACTGAAAACACTTTTCGGTTAAGGAAAATATTTATGTATAAAATTAGGAAAGTGAATTCTCTAATTTAAGAACGTGAAAACACTTTCCCGATTTACTTATCTTGAATTTGTTAATATTTTTTCTTTTCTCTTATTTCTTTTTTTCTTTTCTTTTCTTTTTCTTTTTCATTTATTTTCTTTTCTTAATAAAAATAATTTAAAAAATACAAATAATTTAGAATAATTTTAAAAATATAAATTTTTTTGATAATTTTCATCATCAGATTTACCTCACCAAACAACTGAAAACACTTTCCAAGTGCTTTTTAGGTTTTAGCCAAATAATGAAAAATGAAATGGAAAATGACTTTCTGGAAAGTATTTTCCAGAAATGGTACATTTTCCGCGAAACAAACACATCCTTAATCGATAATTAATCGAGAAAATAGTTTAACCTCTTTGTATACTCATTCATTTGTTATGTCGTAATCGAGATCGGGATGACATTGTTGAGCTCGCTCATTACATTTTTATTAACTAGAAATAAACTATGTAAAAATTCCGTGTACTTTCGATAGCTTTAAGAGTGGTATTTAAAGTAGACAAAAATTCAACAACGGCCATAAAATACTAAAAGGCGGTAGTAAAACTTCAAAATCAAAACCCAAAACAAACAACAACTATTTTCCTTCGAATTTTTTTTTTCATATTTTCCATAATAACAACATCCGAAGAGATCAACAACCAGACTAAAAAATTTAATCACATTCATTGTCCACTAAATTAAAGGGTTAATTCCCAAAAAAGCGCACCAATTTTACTCCGAGCGACAATTCTAACCCGAATTTTTTATGTTTCAATAAATAACGCCAGTTTTTACTCGAGTCCTGAATCTGGCGCCCACGATGTGTAATTCAAAATTGTTCGGGCCGGATTTAAGATTTAAGTAAAAGTCGGTGATTTTTTACGATATAAAAAAAAGCTCGGCTTAGAATTGTCGCTCAAAATGAAGTCGGATTTTTTTTTTTGGATTAACCCCTAAATTTAATAATAACATTTCCGACCAAAAAAAAATAATAAACAAATAACAAGATACTAATTTCCTTTTTTAAAACAATTTTTTTTTCAATCGCGAATATCGCCAGCTATAAATCCGCAAAGTCGGGGATCTGCGCGAGTACGTTGTGTCATTTCGTTCGTCGAGGGACAAAGCTCCATCGTCGCTGCTTCGTTCCTTCAGATCTCTCTCTCTCTCTAGAGCTCCATCCGCGACATCGCCAGGCAATCTCTCTCTCTCTCTCTCTCTATCTCTTCCTGCGAGAAATTGCTTTTTGGTGTTCGATCTGATCGAGTTGCGGAGGGGAAGGATCGATCCCATCGATCCGATCGGTTGCGCGATCGAGGTTCGATCCGTCTCTGCATTTCCAGAATTTGTGTGTGCGCGTATGTGTTTGCGAGGAGCACGTCGGGGGCCGTGGGATTTGGTTTGATCCGAGCTTGCTTCTAGGGCCCGCCGGACGCTCGATCTGGCTTTTCGCGATCCTCGATCCCGTCGTCGGATCTCCATTCATTTTTTTTTTTTGGTTGTGAATTTCGTGGATCTCTGGATCGTTTCGTCGCTCTCGCTCGTGAATGCGTTGGCGCGTGTGTCCCCGCGCGCTTCGCTTCTGGTGTTTCGAGATCCTTTCGGTTCTCTGCGAATGCTGGTTCCTGGTGATTACGGGAATGGCAGATCTGTCGCTTCTCGAGGCAGATCTCGGAGAATGAATGTTTGATCTTTGCCTTTTTTGTTTTTGGTTTCATTCTTGTGCAGCCGGGACGATTTCGTGAATGCGTGATTTTGCTAACGTGTCTAGAAAGTTGTTAACGAAATGGTGCAATTTGGCAACGTGAATTTACTAGCGCATTTAACGATGTGGGATTTACCAATTGAATAATTGCCAATCACGGAGCAAAAATCCGATATTTCAGCTCACGGATTTGTTGGGTTTTTGCTAAAGTCATTTCCTTAATCTTCAACGAGACGTGTTTCAGAATTATTTCGAGTCCAATTATATTTTCTCTGTGTGGAGTGTCTTGTTACACATTCCGTGTCTTACGTTTCTGATTCGTAATACTTGATGCATGTGTGTGTGTGGATTTTTAAGTTGCTATCCTGAATTGCCAAGCTCTAGATCATGAAATATAGGTCGTTAAAAGTCTTGGTTCCGATATCGTATTCCGTTTTGATTGCACGTGATCCAACAAGTCTCTCGGGAGGAAATACCCATTTTAAGCACCCCCAATACCCCATATGTAGACAGCTCTAGTAGATGGATATCCCAAGCCTAACTTTTACAGATTTTGGAGGCTATGTAATGGTAGTGAACCACTTGCACATGATAAGGAGATAGTTTGAATGAGTAGTAGATTTGCAACATGATTTAATTGGGTGTCTGGAGAAGTGGGTTTAGAGTATGGTATGCTGGACCTCTGTGAATATCCAATACAATCATGTGGCATCATTTAACATACCAATTATTGGAAAGTTTCTAGGAATTATCTAGCAATAATCTGAATAAAGTAGTTGCCTACAACCTGAGCGTGGACACTCTGCATTAAGTCCCTATATAAATCCAAAAAATGCGTGCTACACCGAACATTCTCGATCTCCACATGTTGTCATCAGGATCAATTCATGTAAGATAATTAATAAGATGGCATTCATATGTAGTATGCACATGCTTCTTTCGTATTCCTTCTGTCTCTTTGTTATGCGATATGCTTATTCAGTCAGTCTTTTGGTATCAATTGCTGTCTCCACTTTATTAATAAATTAAAATGCTGTTGGCTATTCATTGCTCATCTTAGATTGGCTTTAAGAAATTTACATGATGACTGTTGATTCTAATGAGGTCATTGTTAGTCTCTCTTGAATTACTTTATTACTTTTCCTCTGTATTCTCTTTGACTATTAGTTATTTAATCTGAATACCATTTTATTTGAATGTAGTCATCCATAAACTTGGTTAATTGAATTTGGCAGGCTTGAAAATGGGGCTGTCTTTCACGAAACTTTTCAGTAGGCTGTTTGCTAAGAAGGAGATGCGTATTTTGATGGTGGGTCTTGATGCTGCTGGTAAGACTACAATTCTGTACAAGCTCAAGCTGGGAGAAATTGTCACCACCATTCCAACCATTGGTGAGTCTGAAACTAATATTTGGCAATGTGAAACATTTTTCTTAATTGACCCTGCACTTCTTGATTCTTATGCTAATTTTTCCATGTGCACCTTGGGGAATTATTTTATGTCTCCTTCACAATTGACCCTGTTGCTTATGTGGTTAGGATTCAATGTTGAGACCGTTGAGTACAAGAACATCAGCTTCACCGTCTGGGATGTTGGGGGCCAGGACAAGGTACATTTGTCTAGGAGGAGTTCACTCCATTTTTTCACGTCATATGTGGACTGTTTTGCCTTTGATAAGTAGTGTCACCAGAAGATCATGACAGATTAACTTTCCCTAGGTCAAATTGGTATATGTATTGTGCTGTAATTCCGATGAGTAATTTGAACCTGTGACACTGATTTATGGGCCTGATAAATTCATCTTGTTTCGTGGGTAGGTTGGTAGCTTGTATTTGGGTTAGCCTCCTCCTTATTGGATAGAGTCATGCTTGATTGATTGTTTCTAGTCACAGAAGCATATCATATGTTGAGCCTGTAACTTTGGACTACCCTTCTTTATTGAACCAAGTTCAAACCTCATTTGGATGCATTCTTCTTGTTGTCACATTCACAGAAGATGTTGGGATTCCATACTTTATGCCATGGTTATATTTTCAGTCTTATGTCTGGTCTTGTTTGATTTGGTTCATATGTTTGACCATGAGGCCTTCGTTTTCCTCCTATTGATCGATTCTTTTGCTTCAGATTCGCCCCCTGTGGAGGCATTACTTCCAAAATACCCAAGGCCTGATCTTTGTGGTTGACAGCAATGATCGAGACCGTGTGGTTGAAGCTAGGGATGAGCTGCACAGAATGTTGAATGAGGTACTAGAAAGCCCTGTGTCTGCAACTGTTGCTTCGGAATTGGATAGAACTAGAAGATGCAATTTGTTCACTAGGGATACAAATATTATGCATCCCAGAATATCAAATTAATACGGTCAAAATTGGTAGCTCAATCTCCTGTCTAAAGATATCACGATAGGGGTTTCATGCAACTTTGTGCATGACAAACAAAACATGACGAGTGACAAACAGAGCCTTATTTTGAACCAGTTCTGCAAAAATTTGGTGTAACATATATTTGTTAGTCTACTCTACTATATACCTCATGCAGTGGTAGAAAAACTGAATCTTTGATTTTGATTGATTGCTCAAATATGAAGCTAGCGGAATCCAACTAACTAGATTTGCACTTTCTGAGTGAAAAGAGATGGGGCAGAGAATCTTGTGATGCGGGAAAATCTGTCGCAGCGAAAATCATTGAAGTTAAAATTGAGATTTGGAAGATCATAAATTCCAGAACCAGGAATCGTATGGATTAGTTGTCAACTAACTTTGCTCCTGTATAACAGTAGTAAAATAGGTGTTGTATATTTAGATAGCATTTTCCTGCTACATGGATTGGTCGCCATTGATTTTTCAAGTATTTGATGCCATTTGTTTGACGGAATAGAAAAAACAAATAACATCTACCGATGCTGATGAGGTCTGAGATTCTGCACTTTCAGACCCAAATATACCTGATACTGAAAGATGGCTGGGTCGAATATTACGCACGACGACTCTCGTTTTGTTATTCTCTCTTAGAGGCTCTTAATCTGAAAGATGTGGGGAATGCTGCTGTGTGGTTTCTATTGTAAAGGATAGCAATGACAGGAAGACTCACTGAATTTGTGGTTGCAGGATGAGTTGAGGGATGCTGTGTTGCTAGTGTTTGCTAACAAGCAAGATCTTCCAAATGCAATGAATGCTGCTGAAATCACCGACAAACTTGGCCTTCACTCTCTCCGTCAACGTCATTGGTAATTAGTTTTGGCATCTCTCTCTCTGTCTCTCTGTCTCTCTGTCTCTCTGTCTCTCTCTCTCAGTGGTCTCATCATCCCAAACATATGTGCATCAAAGGTACATCCAGAGCACATGCGCCACCTCCGGTGAAGGCCTCTATGAAGGACTGGACTGGCTCTCCAACAACATTGCAAACAAGGTGATGTTTCGTGAGCATTACACTCTAAGGCGTTATTTATGGAGAATAGCACAAAAGAAGTCTCATTTCTATCGATTTTTTTTATGTCTGTGCAGGCATAATCGTGCTGATCCTGAGGCACCTCGGTTCGAGTAGGAACTTCGCATTACTTTTCGTTGTTCTTGAATTTGGTATCTTTTTTCACAGTTTGTGTTCAGTTTGATATTGTTGCTGATTTACGTTGTCGCTGATACCTGTAGTTAAACAATATTCGACGGATCTTATTCTTTATTGTCATTGTAAAACGTTTATTCTTTTTCTCGACGTGGCGTTTGCATGCGTAACTGGTGATGGATTTTTCTTGAAATCAAAAGTGCCAGGTTTAGCGAATCTCTGAACTTATGGGTTGTGCTATGCGTGATTTTACTAAATAGTAAGATGAGGTGACCCTACATAGTTGACCAACTGATGTCCCTTTTGGTTGTAGCCCGTCTAACTTCCTGCGAAGCTGATTTGTAAGTGGAATGGCCATTGTATGTACCACTTAAGGAGGGAAAATATTTTCTGGTTAATTAAGAAGGTGAAATTTCGAAAATCGTCACGCACCCGGACTAGACTCTCTAAGTACCCCTAGACTTGACCTTGTTGCAAACGATCCTGGCACAGACGACTTTGTTCCGAGTGACCCCCAGCGCAACGGCAACCAAAGTGTTGGTTCTCGGGAACCCCTAGTGCATCTTAGTTGCCGGCGAACACGGGCAAGTCGCGTGTGCATTTCCCGTGCACACTTTTTTTCAGCCCGAATACAGGCGAAAAAAAGCGTCTCATTGGGTTCGCATCAGCTCATGACGTTCTCATTCCGCACTTAACACTGATTACATTGATAATGGAAGTATGAGCAATTTTTCTACTTTCTTCCCTCTTCTGATTATTTGTTAAGAGTGTTTGACCCAAATTGCACATGGAACAGAGTTGTCAACTGTGGGGTTGTTTGAACAAGTTCAAATCTGGGGGTGGTACCTTTGAGAATCTTGCCTCACTTGGAGGGAGTTTTGGAATTTTCCGAATAGGAAAGCAGAGAACAAGAGAAAAAGGGTACTGCAACAAATCATTATTGGAACCTCATGCCCGTTTCCATCGACGATAACATAACTTGTCATTCCCAAATCATGGTTCGCGACAGAATCTTTGCTTCATACACACAGACAACACTATTGACTCCCAACCAAAAACAGAAACAAAACGACAACTTCTTCCCATTTCTTGACATGCAGGTGATCTGTCCTCGACCCCTTCATGTTCTGAGCTCCAAATTATTCCAGGACACTAGTCAGAGCGGAGTTTGTCCCTAAGCCGCGGACGGAGCGGCGACATATTGAACAGGCGCAGCTTCGGACAGAGCCGCTATGAATGGCTCCATGTTCACCGCCTTCTCCACGGCCTCGACCTCGGGCCCCTTGTAGTCCAGAGACTCATCGTTGTAGATGTCCCGCCACTTCTGGACCAACATCTTGATATCCTCTCTCTGCATGTTCTCTTCCTTTCCCGTGTACCTCCACGGCTTTGATCCCTACAATTCCCGCAACATTACGCAGATAACATCAAAAGGTCAGGCAATTAGGATTTAATTAACCATCTCATCTAGTAAAACTTTGCATGGATTTGAAGGCTGGTGCTGCTTACCGCTGCGCAGTAGTGAACCACCTTCACTTTCTCGAGCTCAACATTCTCCGGGTGACGCCATAACATGGCGAGCACGAGATTGTAGACCAGTGGAATCGGCTTATAGACATTTCTGAAGTACATGTTCAAGAAGTCCTGCCACGATATAAGAACACGAATTTCAAAGTTAATATGGAAGATATCACTGTTTGATTGTTAGACAATGGTAAAAAATCATTCACCAAAATGAATTTGTCTAGTTAGTTTGCTAGTTAAGTTATTACGCCATTCACCTGCTCAGCGAAAGGCGTTGGAGGAGTGATCTTGAGGTTCTCCAAGAGGTCCACATAAGTGGCGATGCTCGGCTCATAGACGAACATGCCGGCATTGAAGTAAAGGGCGGGTGGCTCGCCCATCTCCGCCAGCCACTTGACCTTCTCCGGCGACTGTTGGCAGTACCCGATCTTGTACTGCGGGGTGTGGCTCCACGTCTTTTCGCAGAAGCAGTCCATTACGGCATAGAAGTAACCGTCCGGCTGGTCGAACAGATGGTCGATGTTCTCGTACACTTGGATGTCCCCGTCCAAGTATATCATCTTGCTATACTCCACAAACTGCACATGCAAATTGAAAATGAAAATCGTCACGAAAGACAAATATTGTTTTACTTAATTCCGAACATACCAATAATTAATATACGGTTCGAACATGGCCACTAATCTAGACGGTCAAGTGCATTGAAGTATTGCATTGAACGAGAAATCTTATACACGTACCTCCCAGATACGGAGCTTGGAGTAGTTGATGACGTAGTAGGCCATGGCGAACTGGGTCTGGTTCTCGGGCGGGTAAACGGGCTCTATCTCCCGGACCACGCACCCCTGCGACTCCAGGATCCGCCGGTGCTCCTCCGGCACGTCAGGCAGCACTGCGACGACCAGAGGGTATGCCGCCTTGGCCTTCCTCAGGCCCTTTGCCAGCCCGACAACCCCCTTCACGTAGTCGCCGTTCCCCGCCAGGAACGTCACGTACGCCCTGCCCGGGAGGTTCGCGGGCACGGGTAAGTCGGCCGGCTTCAACGAACTAGGGACCAGCTCAGGTGCCATGACTAACTACAGATTGCGCTGTTTTCACGCGGAAGTGTCGAGAGAGGGGCACGTGAGCCGCAGGGAAGAGAGTGAAGATGACTGTACGAGGAGTCTTATGTCTTTGTGAGTGATTTGTGCAGGCTGCGGAGGTGAATATATATAGACATGAGAGGGGGAGAGAACGAGGTTGAAGAAGTTGGTAGAAATAAAGAAAAGCTGGGATGCATTTCATTTGATTATTATTCTTTTTATCTTGGTCGCAATTTCTTTGGATTTGAGGCCACGTGTATGATTGGGTTGATCGGACGGCGGTAGTGGAGGTAGCCGGAAATTTCTGGAAAATGTACAATGTCAAGAGAAATTACTAGAAGAGCAGCCTTGCGACAGTAATACATGTACTAAGGTTCCGGAAGATTGAGGAGTGTTCAGGTATTAGGTTTAGGAATAAATCAAGTTCTTAAATAAGTTATGGTCGTCGTCTATGTTGTGAACCACAAGAAACAAAAGAAGAAAAATACCTAACTAATGCAATCATGTGAGATACCAATCAATTGAATACGAAGATTCTTGTTAAAATTGAACGGCGATATCATGCCAGTTATCTTGTGACAAGTAGTGATAGGAGGATGCGAAGTTTAGCGTAGTGAGCTTTTCTTGGTATCCCATGTTTCATCTAAAAACGGCAATTATTCATTAAGAAAATGGGGGAATACAGAGTGATAAAGTAGCACATTTGCCGCTAGCTGGTTTCTTTCTTCTTCTTGCTAAACCTTCTAATGGCATTATGGTGCCCTAACATTAGATACAAACTAAGACTAATTCATAATAATTACGCGAGACCCTTGTTGATTGGTACAAATATCCATTTGCAATTTACCCCAATTTCTCAATAAATTTACACAATTGTGAACTAGTCTTTTGTATCTCAAGGGTCGCTCTTCATCGTTTGAGCTGCCAAAGTAATCAAATTTCCTGATATCATAGCACCCCCAACGACTCGATAAGGAAAAAAAAAATACTGATTTTTGCCCATTTTTCTGCGTTATGAGAACTATCCAAAACTGATTTCCAAAATTACTCAACAAACTTTAAAATTTTGTCGAATCAAAGCGCAAAATATGCAATCAGTAACTTCTGGTGGAAGTGTTTTTCCCTCTTGGAATTGTTGCATCTTTCGCATGCCAACCAAGTGACCGCTGTATGCTTCCTTTCGAAGGTTGCCTTCCCTTCTTTCTCTAGGGATGCCTTGGTTTGCAAGTTCATAAGATAAAGTGAGTTGACTGAAAAGGAAAATAAATAAATAAATATTTATATAATAAGGAGTACTTTTCCACGATGCCGTGATACACTTTGCAAGAGAGAAAAAAGAAAGATGGCCTAGAATAAAGTAGTAAAGAGATGAAATGAATATATCTTGTCATTTTCTTCGGGGATTAATTGTGGGAAAAATTATGTTTAGAAGTCAAGAAGCTTTTAATACTAGTATTTAGGCATATACTTATATTGGGAGAATGATCAAAATTTAGGCGACAATGAGAGGTCGAAATCAGCCTACAAATTGAAATTGTGTTTAATTTGGACCTTCAGAATGGTGGACAAACGGCTAAGTTGATAGAAATATGGAGAAACATACAAAGCTGACAAATGGCTGCATGAAAATTCAACTACTCTTTTTTCTTCTTTTTTCTAATACATGGCGAGAATTAAATTTCAACCCACTTTTTTGTTGGCGACTCATCAGCAAGGTCCAGACATTCAACCATCACAAGATTTTATTCGAGTAAAACGTGGATTAAAAATGATAAATTTCGTGGGGCTACGAAGTGATCAGGACTAAGGAGATTGTAAGTTAGGTCCACATTGTTGTCTCCCTCGTCTCGTTAGGGTTGTGGCTCATTACATTTTTCTTGTAGGGTCGCAGCTGATTCTATGCTCTTGGCCAAGCTGGGGCTATGCGTAACATCATCGTGTCAATCAATCGAATGGAAAAGGAAAAGGAGAAAACAAAAGGGGTAAAAAGCGTGCAGTTTTTATTCCACGAAATCCCATTCCAAGCTTTTCGGGAATTTGATAACAAGACGACTTCCTTTTGCAGCAATTTTTGGAAAACCCTAGTGCATGTCGTGTGAATTTGCGATCGTCTCTTTCGAGGCCGAGCAACATTGATTCGTCACATTCAGTTGAGAACTAGATGGGCTACGGAGGTTCTTGGGTGCATCTGTTTCATGCTTTTTACTAAAGTGAAAGACACATTCCCATGTTCCTTAGCGGGGGAGGTTACAAAAGGTGTGGCCATACGATTCACGAGTTCAATCATTGGCACCGGAATCGATCCATAGGAGACGTGTGTGGGTTGTTCACGGTGTTTCTGGGAGGTTGGGATAAGATGTTCCGATAACAAGCCAGCCGTGAACGGGAAAAAATACTAAAGAACTCATAAATATATCGTGTTACTGCCAATTCAATCATAAATTTTTTTTTTTGTCAATAGATATGCGGTCTTACCGGTAAAGTGATTAGGGGGTTGGGGATGCTAATATCATAGATACGGGGCTTGACTCCCACGGCAGAGCAAAAGTCAGAAAGTGAGGAGTTAGAAATATGACAGACAAAACAAAATCATAAATATTTTAATTGGATTAATTTAGTCCTAAACTTTTTTTACTTTGATTTCAGTTGAGTCCATCTAAGCAAATTAGATCGGAAATTGTTTATGTGGATGCGAATCATCGTACGTGACACAATAGGTGTTGACATGACGACTAGCATAGTAAGCGTTGACATTGATAATTTTAAAATTTTTTTTTTCTTTTTCCTTTTCGTTGTTCCTAAGGGTCTCAAAGTTGCTAAGTGATCATACAAAGGTTTTTGTGGGTTTTATTCTCTTCCTAAGCTAACTCTAACTTATTCTAGGATAGCGATTAGCATCCGATTTATTGAAAAACAGCACGGTAAATAAACATCCAAATATTGAAAGCAACTAACTAACGGTGCGGAAAGTAGGGACCCGATCTAAGTCAGCAAAGAATATATATGGCCTCGTTATAAGTCTCGCGGCATAATTCATCTGAAGCTTGAGTTTAAATCTAAAACTAATCTAATCCATTCTAATTATCTATTTAGAAATGATTCTATGTCTAATTTGATTTTATTGAATGGAACTATAACTAACTAGTTATTGCTAAACTAGCCTTATTAGACTGAACCAAGTGCGTGCACTCTCGGCCTTCGGTCTTTGGGAAGTTCATGACCATCACCATCTTCATTAGTATCGAACATCCATCACATCCGACATTCATGTCATGCAAACAATCAAAGTAGCCAATCAGTAGGTTCAGCAGTCAACAAGTAACAAAGCAGTCAGGCTAATGAATCTAAATTCGCCTATACGATTCAATTGACCCCAGCTACCTCCTAATCGAATTCAAGGTTCATTGAATGGAATTAACGGTTAATAGCCCCCCCGCTTGTGTGCACAATGCAGAAGGCTACCATCGTCTCCGACCACTTCTTCACCGGCGACTGCTCCTCCGTCGTCTCCGAGCCGCTCCGCTTCTGCTTGCCCCCCGAAGAAGACCCTCTGCTTCTTCCCCCAGTTCTCCTCCGGCAGGAGGAACTACTACGTCGTCCTCGAAAGATTTGGCTTTGTAATTACTGAGTGGGAGTACGAAAGATTTCTCAGTAAAGCCGTAGTTTTAGGGAGGTTCATTATGAGCAATAGGTCACAGCTACTTCTGGTCAAGCTGCGACGGTGCATGCGGGGAAAAAGCAATGATGTGGCCTTGGGTCTTATATAACCTGTGTTCCACTTTCGTTTGCTGTGCTCATGTGGCGCATTGGTGATGCTCAAGGATAAAGTAACCGAGAGAATGTTTATGTGACTTTATGACTGTTAGTTGTCTGCTGAATTCTGTGAGTTCCTGAGCATGACATTCTTATTTTTTCAATATGATAGATCTTGAGGAAGACAATTTGGTCGTTGCAGCTCGAATCAGCAGGTACTACAAGGAGACTGACTACATATATTTTCTGTCAAGTTGCATTTGTGGTTTGCAACTCTTTAAGCATAACTGATTGTTGTGTTATGTAGACAAGTTCCCTGGACCCACCTGGGGACTGGACCGCCAGTGGTCCGGTGCCCAATTCCCATTTTTTGGAACCGGTGCTTAGTGGGCGGTTCTCGGTTCCAGGGTGGGAGAACAGATCACCTCTAGCAATCTGTGTCTCGCCACGCTACTTCGTTCAGCTCCTTTTCTGTTGCTCTATTCAAGGTTGTGTACAGAGATTTTGCTCTCTTATATGTGCGAATCAGAGAATCCAGGTCGATGAACCTGCCAATTGATTCGATCTTCCATAGCTTCGTGTCATTTTGCTCCGTCATTTCTGTTCAAGTTCTTTAGTCTGTGATGCTCTGTTCTTTGGTTTCCTTTATGCTGAATTTTGGTAATTCTCTGATATTCTGTAACACATTCATGATACTGATGTTCAGTGACATTCTGATTCCGGTTTAATCAGCAAATTTGTTTCAGTTATTTGCACTAGAAGCAAGATAAGGCAGAGATGGCTTCGGTAGGCAGTAAGGGAGGGGTAAAAGTGAGAGATCAGAGGAGTGCAGCTCCCATTGACTCAAACAGAGAAGGTAAGGCTGCAGAGAGCACTCAAAAAGCTCGAGGCTTTGTCTTCGATGGCTAATTCCAATGCCTCTGTCACTGTGGCCGACACGATTCCTGTCAACTACAATGACGGCTTTCTCAAGTAATGAAGCTGACCTTATTCAGTTTTTATAGCGATATATCCCATAAGTGATTGTATTTAGCATGGCACATAATATTAGTTCCTATGTGTTCCAGTTTTGCAAAGTTCACCACCTAGTTTAAGAAGGGCTTGGTCCTGCAAGTTTTGAAACCGGTCTCTGCATATTGGAGGGTTATCTTTGCAAGTACACGCATGATAAGTTGTTGCCTTTTACATCATTTTTATCTGGGCTGTGTTCATTGATGAAAACAAAGGGCCATGGATCCACCGAGCTTAATGGCGAAGTTGTAGCTATGGTATGTGGAGTAGTTGAGCGAGTCAACAAGCTGGTCTATGTTTGCACTCTGCGAGCCATGTGGCACAATGTCAGAATATTTTCTGTTCCTCTTTACTTTATGCCTTCTAATGCGAGTCTTCTTCTTCTGTTAACATCACAATGAGTGTAGATACAAGCCAGAGGTTGGAGACATCATTGTTGGACGCGTTATTGAGGTAAAATACTATATTCAATTTCATAATCATTTGGTGCATGCGCATAATCAAAGGAACTTCAGTGTATTCGAACCTTATGTCAATAACTTGTGGCAATACGTGAGCATGTGAATGTCGACATAAGCTCAACCACACATGCTTTATGTCATTTTACGTTTTCATCAATGATAATCACAATCAGTTTTCGTTCTATAAAGCTTACCTGCAAGGTTGTACAGAATATTATTCCTCAGAACATGATGGCAGAAGATAGATGTAGATAACTGTACGTGCATATAAAAATGTAAAAGTTGATTTTTTTAGCTTGCTGGCATAGGACTTTAAATTTTGGTCTTAAGATGAATGAAAAAAAAACTTCAAAATCCAGAACACCCAATGTTCAATAACTTTTTGTGACTTTGCAGTGAAAATGCAAATTATGTTCTCTCGCTGTTGACTTTTTGCCAGTCTGCGATGTTTCTCTTGCATATCTGCTGAGAATATGTGAAACCAGCATATGCTGTTTATCTATCTTATTTTAACATCGTCTTAGTATTAGGATTTACTATAAGAAATTTTCTCTCGGCTTTATTCCCAGTCTATATATTTCAGGTAGCTCCAAAGCGTTGGCGACTACTGGATACAAATTACAGTCAAGATGCTGTGTTAATGCTTTCTTCAATTAATTTGCCAGATGGAATTCAGGTACCTATGTAGCATTTTCTTTTTCTTCTGTTTTTCTTTTAGATGCTTCCACTGTTGTATGTTTTCACAGGTGGTATGCAGTCTTTCAGTTTCTCTATGTTTTCTGTTGTTCAGGATCTTTTTTCTCTATTAGTAGTTATCACACAGATTGAGAATGGCTGGATATGTAAAAAAATGGAAGATGAGAGGTGCTAGTTCTGCAGTCTTTGTTCCGATCAATAAATCTGAGAATGCATGGAAAATCCTTGAAACAGTAAAGTCAACATACCAGGGAAAAAGGTACTCTGTAGAGAATGTTCCATACATGTTGGCGACTCTACCATAACCTTAAAATGCGCATATGCTATAGCATAGTTTTCAAGATTCGTTTTCGGAGAGTACATGATTATGCGCTATGCCACACCAGATAAAAGGATTTATCTCTTCTTAGTACTTGGAGAGTGATGTCTTCTAATCAGTCCTGGGGCTCATTGATTGTCTGATTGGCAGATACAACTGGACTGATGTGAGGCTTATGTAATTCTAGGGGACATCATAATTCTAATGCTTTGCATAATAGTGATTTTAGCACGTGAAAAATTTGGCTCGGAAGGATCTTCTTTCGATTTCCTACTTGCAAATATGTCAATACTTATCGGTCGTATCGCATTATTGCGCGGCTACCAGATTTTATGCTCCTTTATGATCATGCTGCATACATATATATTTCTTGTAATAATGAAGTAGATGAGCAAGCTCAGATGTTTCATACAGATAAACTTTTAAAGCTCATGGTTCAACTTTCTCTCTTTTTTTTTCCCTGCTTTGATTACCAGAGGCGACGAACTGCAGAGGATGAGCTTAACATGCGCAGCATCTTTGAAGAGAACGATGTCATATGTGCAAGTCAAATTTCCTATCATTATGGCTCTTACAATGGTGAACTAGTTCTATGAATTGACCAACAGGTCTTCAGCTTTATGTCTTGATCTTTTCTTTCCCCTTCAGGCTGAAGTTCGCGGGTTTCAGCATGATGGTCTGCAAAGAGAAAGAAGTGAAGATCGAACGTGGAAGGATCTCGTCCACATACGTGTTTAATTAATTAATTGAAGTGAGAACAAATTTCCACAAAATGAACAAGTATTTATTAATTAATTAATTTTAAGCTTTTGTCTGCCTTGTTCCGGCCGGTCTACACATTGGGTGAAGAAAGAATTTTGAAGCTTTTTACCAAGAATTATTCTTGTCGCGACCTCATTTGACTGCCTAATTTCACAAAGGGGATGGCTAATTTATGCTAAAAAGTTAAGAACCTTGGTATCTACTTCTCTTTTATATACTAACGCTAGAATAGATTATTCGAGCAAAGAATATAACGTGAATTTTATGGTAACACTTGATCTCTACTTCTCTTTATGCGGATGGAGGAGAATCTATTCAAGTTTCGAATGACACTTTGCATATCCTAATTGGTGTAGGAGGTGTAGAATGTCGACACTTTCTAATTTGGTTTTTATTTTCAAAAGCTTGCATTCATGAACCTAACATATATTCACCAATGTTGAAATCTTAAAACTTGTTGCAACCCTAGTTATTTCGTGACCTTGAATATCCACCTCGAAACCTATTTGGCCATGATGGCTTCGCACGCTTATAACTTTAGATAATTGAAATAAACTCTTTTATCTCATACTATGTAGGATGCTATTTAGCCTGCCGATCCATTCAAAAACTAATCCACGTGAGTTCCGCAACAAATGACAAGAAAACCGTCTCCCAAACACATTAGAGCTCCGCACGCGTTACGCACATGCCAAATAGGAGATGGATGGAAGCTGTTCTTAGTAGGATAATTAATAGATACATGACTTTCAAAGGTGTGGCATGTGCAACATGAAACTGGTTAATATCATGTGATAAATTAGTCAAAATAAGTAAGTGACAGAAATATGAAATTATTGCACGACCGCTTCCCTTCCCGATCTTAGACGTCGAATTTCCGGTCTTAATAAGAAGGTACATCAGGCCCGACCCACGTTAGAAATAAGCACCGTGTTTTGGGCCAACACTCGGAATTTTCTTTCGCTCGAAATTTCCTTAGTCTACTAAACGGTTGAATTCTATAATTGATGAAATAATTTTTCAAGGGAAAGAGTAGTCTATATTGTCCCATGCCCAATTTATGGGAGATCCTCTTTTACACGGGGAATTTCCATCGGTGTTTCGACCAATCTCAACTTCAAGATATTTGTCGTAAATTTCACAGCTGCCTCTACTGACGGTAATCAATGAGAGGGACAAATGAGATGAGATATCAATTGAAACCGCGAACAATTTAGAGGGTCTCATCCCCAAAATTTTATTTTAAAAAGGGTTATTTGGCAAAAGAAAAAAGTGATGGACGCAGTAAGTTTTTCCTTTTTTTTTGGGTTAAGGTATGACTCGAGAGAAATCCTGTGACCATATTTGTTTTCCCTATTCAAGATCTAGGTTCGAATCATCCAATTCACACATTTCATTCGGCGAGAGAGAGATCATCGAATTGGCAAGAATTAGCCGAGTGAGTGCTCAAAGATTTAAGTCGAACACGCTTCATATCGCTCGAAGACTCACGTTGCATTGTTTCTGAATATTCTACTCCATCAATAAAAATAGAGTGAGAGCCGCAACCATGTGCTGGTAATGGCGCACCGGAATTCTTATATTATGTATACAAGGCGCAAAAGGCGATTTCCTTTAGATATGCTCAAAAGTTCATCCTCTTAGATATGACCGTCCGTTCAACGTATGTGCCGTATGCGATAGTCCTTACTTTTTTTTATGAAATGTTGACCCTTCTGGATTGAAAGTCTTTCTAAATCACGTGATGCATATGGATTTTGACGTACGTTTACTAAAGTTTTCAAACCATTTTTCTCTCAAAAAATGGTGATTTATGACACCCGTGCTTATCATTCGAATTGCGCAGAATAGAAATATTAGAGCTATACATTTCTCTGTTAACCCGTTCGACATAATATTATGGGGTTAATTACCAGAAAATTCCTAAACCTATTGTACGGATACCAATTTAGTCCTAATTTCGATTTTGCCAATTTAGTCTTAAACCTTTTGACGATTTGCCAATTTAGTCTTTCCGGTTAATTTTGATATGAAACTGCTGAAATAGACATTCCTATATGGCACGATTGATACTGACGTTGACGATATTTACAATTTTCTATTTTTTTGTAATATTACCAATTATTTTATTTTATTTTTTCTTTTCGTTTATTTTATTCTTCTTTTTTTCACTTTCGCTTCCAGCTAACGAGGGTCATCGCGGATGGTCGGTGATCCTCCCTCACCGGCTAGATTTGACCGCGAGCGAGGGTTGCTGGCCATTCGCGATGGCCCTTGCCGACCCTTTTCAGGCAGTGAATAGTGAATAGAAAGAAAGAAAAAGAAAAAAGAAAATAAAAAAAATCAAGAGATATAAAAATAATTCACAACATTGGAGAAAAGAAATGCGAAAATTGTCCACGTTAGCGACGATCATGCCACATAGGATGACCGCTATCGATGCCAGCGATTTCCGGCCAAAATTGGCTGGAAGGAATACTTTAACAAATCGTCAAAAGATTTACGACTAAATTGACCAAATTAAAAAGTTTAGGACTGAATTGACATTCGTACAATAGGTTTATGATTTTTTTGATAATTTTCCCGGGGTTGTTATGATAACATAACTAGAAAAGTACCAATTAAATATTAAAAAATATCGCGCATGCTTTTATTTTGTTATTCATGGACTTTTTCTCCATGGAAATTCGTTTCAATTTAGATGAAAATTCCTCAAATATTTTTATATCTTCGGGACTTTAAATCGTCTTAGAAACAAAAAAATTAAATAAAAAATAAAAAATCCGTCGACCCACGTTGAACTCAAAATGCACAAAGATACAATTCTTATGTATTTCAAAAAGGGTCAAAACCATTGGACAATTTCAAGTGTCCGAAGCTTCGATGTTGACCAAAACAGTCAAAGGAAGAGGCCTAAGAAGACTCTACGAAACTATGAAAACCATTTTTTCTTCAATTACTTTGTTAGGTATACGTCGTCTTGCCGTAGTCGTCGTTTGCGCTAGTTTGATATGCGAAATGGACCAAGCCACTTCTATGGGCACTTTTAAAAAGACAAGGAGGCCCACCTATTTTGGCTTCTGGATTTCAAACCAAGGCCCACCTATTTACATATATATATTTTTATATGTGCAAAATATATATTTACTATATTTATAAAAGAATGATTTTCATTTGATTGATAATCTTAAGAGGGGGACTAATTCTGTGATGATTACGGCTTAACCCTTGGTTCACAATGCGAATCGAACGACATACCCTAATTGTTGCCTCATCCACGTCCGAGTTCATGGGTAAATCTCTCTGATAAATCAACCTTACCGATGGGTAGATTACATCACAAGAATGTGCGTAAGTGTGTGTTGTTGGCAAGTTCAGTTTTCTTACCCTTCTCACGTTGACACTAGAAGTTGGACGGAAGAAAACGAGAGAAAAAGGCGGACACTAAAGAAGATCGTTGACCTTATTGAAATGTCAAGATCACAATCTGAAAGGAGATATGGCGACTAGAAAGTTTGGACGGAACCAAGAATGAATGCTGATATACCTACGCTCTAACCTATACGCATCCACATGTTTTTATCAAATATCAATCAGTGGACTTCTGAATGGATAATGTGAGATTTAAGGTCTCTTTTTGTTGATACCAACCTCTTGCGAAGGTGGGGTAAAGTACTAAAAAGTCCCAAACTTATTAGCTTGTGCCAGTTCGGTTCTAAACCTTTCAATTATACCAATTGAGTTTTAAACCTTTTGACGATTTGTCAATGTAATCCATCCGGCCAATTTTTGCCGGAAATCATTGATATGGACGCCAGTTGTTCTACGTGGCACGAGCAACGCTAACGCAAATAAAAGTTTACAATGTTTTATATTTTTATGATTTTTTCATCTTCTTTCTTTATTTTTTTTATAACTTTGAGTCGATGAGGGCCAGCAACCCTCGCCTTGTCTGGGTGAGGGCGTTGTTGCCCTCACCAGCCAACGGTGAGGGCCTCTGCACCCTCACCTAGATCCAGGCAAGGGCTGAGACCCTCGCCGACTATGGGCTGAGACCCTCGCCGGTCACGAGCGAGCGTCTCCGTGCCCTCACCCTTGCACTCGCAAGGTCGCAGCCCTTTCCTGGATCTGGGCGAGGGCCCAACACCTTCGCTTGTGGTTTGCAACGGCGCGAAGGCGCTCGCTCGTGGTCGGTGACCTCATTGGCCAACAGCTGGGAAAAAAAAAGAAAGGAAAGAAATGTAAAAAGAAAAGAACAAAAAGAAAAGAAAAAAACAAAAAAAGTAATAAAAAATTCGGAAAAATTTAAAAAATTATCCACGTCAATGCCGATTGTGCCACTTGGGACAGACAACATCATGTCAATGATTTTTTTGTCAAAATTGGTCATATGGACTACATTAGCAAATCGTCAAAAGATTCAGAATTCAATTGACACAATTAAAAGGTTTAGAATTGAATTGGTATAAACAAAATAGGTTTTGAACTTTTTTGGTACATTTCCCCGCAAAAGTGGCATATCACCCGTGGGTTTAATCTTTGTGTTTCGATAAATATCAGCCATCGACTTATTAACGAGTCTATGAACATGGTTGAGATTTTTCGAGTCATCTATGGGAGTACTATGATGCCACTATCTAAGGGTGCGTTTAGTTTTGCTTTCCTAAGAGACTTTGGAATCCTAAGGTCCCATAGGAAAAAGTGAGGGAATTTGGTAAATTTGTTTTAGCCCACTTAGGGGAAATGCCACCATTGGACTTTCAACATTTTTGGAAGGCAAATTTTAGAATTGATGAACTTGTTTTTTATTCCAAAATTGCCAACACTAATATTGTCATTTTCCAATCTTCCCCTCAGAAGTTTTCATCATCTTCTACTTGCAAATCTGGTTGCCGTTGAAGCTTGGCCGAGGGTCGCCGAGGTCGATGGTCATTGGTCATCGATCGTGAGGCTCGCCGAAGCTGTAGATATGTTTCTGGTTGCAATTTGTTCATGGTCGCCGAAGCCACAAATCCGCTCAGATCTATTCCATCGCAAGCTCGCCAAGGCCGTTACAAGCCCTCACTTGGGCTCGTAACGGCGGTTGCTAAAATTTGTTCTGCTCAAATATGTTTGTTGTAAGGCTCGTGCGACCTCTGTGTGGTGTTGCCAGA